CCTCATTTTTATTTTTAACAAATAAAAAATTATATTATTTTTAAATAAAAAATTAATCATTTTGTCTAATTAGCAAATTTTGTTTTTTAAAATAATATATTTTTTAATGTTAAATTAATGTACAAAATAAAATTATTATAATCACTTAATGTTATTAAAGGTAAAAAAATAAAATTGAAACTAATTAGATAAATATTAATTAAAAAATATGACCAAAAATTAAAAAATTAAAATTAATAAATTTGCCAATAAAATTAAAAAAGTTCAATCTGCTAACGATTTCGTACAAAAAGTTACATAAACTAAATTTTTGATTCTATTAGTAGTTAGAACCTAGCCGCTAGTCACTAGTCCTAAATCGCTAAATAAAAATTTTACCAAACACCTTATTTGTAGTGGTTTCGAAATATATAAGTTTACCAAACACCTATACTTAGCAATTTAGATAAAATCACTAATCGTTACCCCAAAACTGTTACACCAAACAGACTTTGAAAATCACCTTTGTCAATTGAAATATTAGTAGTGTTTAGTAATATCTTACTAAAATAGAAATTGAGACAATTAAATCAGATAATTTCTATTTAGAAAGTCAAGCAATTAAATCAGATCATAAGAAGTAAGTAATTATTTTGTAATAAGTAAGGCATTGTTTGGTTTGGCTGATATTGATAGCTTACACTCCTTTCGTCCTAGAAATAATAGAAGCAGTTTGATTTCATCTTTAGATTAAGGATTTGGATATAATTTTTATTTTTACATATTTTACACTTGAAATAAAATGAAAGAGACTTCTTTAAGGTAGAATAGATAATTAAAGTCAAGATATAATAATAAGGAAATAGTGCCTATCAGCCTTATCTTCTAAAGATTAGGAGGAAAATCATCCCAAAATTACGTCATTTCAATAAATTTTTATTGAGAATGACTAAACTACCTCATTTTTAAAGCATGCATTAAGGTGATTTTTGTTTTTTTTTCTTCCTAATTTTTTGGAGATAAGGCAGATAAGCACTAACCCCTAATAATAATAAGGTTAAAATTGTAAAAAAAATATTTATATTCCTTAAAATATATAAAAAAATAATTATTATTTTAAGACAAATTTTAAATTAAAAAAATGTTTATTAAAGATTTTTGGTGATATGCTTGGACTGCATCAATCCTTGAACAATAATAATTGGAAGTCAGTAAATTTAGATCTACTGCATTGCGAATATATTTCTAATAATTAGCTCCCAAGCTTTTTTGAATAATTCAAGGAGAAAATTGAGGAACTCTTTTTAGCCCTAGATTTTCTAATAGATTTTATGGTAATTATTTCC